GCGCTTTTAGGGGAAACTGGGCCAAATAAAGTACCTACAGAGCGATGGCAGTGTGTGGATTCTGGTTGACCCCGGCGAGGTGCCTGGAGGAACAGCCTGCTCCTAAGCCGCTTCCCTCCTGTCCGGAGGATGGACTGTGTCCTTGACTAGAAGGGGAGGGAGGGAGGGAGCAGAGCCAGGAAGGGCAGCTGGCCGGCCCTGTCCCCCCCTACCCCCCCAGAACCAGAACCCCGTAAGCAGGCTTCGACTTGGGGGCCAGCGGGAGGGTCTTGGGGGCCTGCTCAGTGGACTGACCTTTTTCTCCTCCCTCCCTCCCCTGCCCAGGAGTGGGTCCCTCATCTTAGATTTTCCGGCAGAGAAACACCCTATAGCTTTCCTGGGCACCTGTCCCCATCCCCCTCTGAAGCGGAGTGGGAAGCAGGCTTGCGTGAAGGATTAGAGAGGTTTAGGGGAGCTTTGCTGAGAATCTGGTAAGTCTGGTCAAAGGACAGGCCTTGCGGTGGGCGGGGTGCAAGCCATTTGAAGTATGGGAAGGTGATGCCCAGGTGTCAGGTGCCGTTTCCCTTCCTTCCCTGCCGGAACCTTTCCCCATTTTCCTCGCCGGCTCTGGTTACTCGGACCTGGATTCCAAGAGGCGTGAGGGTTGGGCCCCGCTGGCACCGGCTGGCGGCCTAGCGGCCTGGCGGCCTGGCGGCGGGGGAGGCGCGGGGTGGGGGGCAGTTTATCGGGAATTCCTTTGGCTGGGACCGGAGAGCTGGCGTCTAGCTCCTGCCCTTACTTCCTGGCTGTTGGGATGCTGGAGCCGAGCCCGCTGAGCGTTGAATGAAAAGGCCCCTTTCTTTCTGAACCCACTGTACCTACAGCCCCTCCGGGCGGAGACCCCCGACCCGGGGGTACAGATTAGGCCGCCGGGGCAGGGGGTGGGAACGTGACCTTATCCATCCCAGTCCACCGCGGGAGAAACTCCTTTGGGGCAGATCCTGAGTTCAGCGGTCACGGGAGGTGGTGCCTGGGGAGGGAGGAAAAGTCCAGCCTCTCGAGAAGCCCAGACACGGGCGTGGTAGGGTGAGAGAAGAGGCGAGTAGGCCCTACGAGCAGAATTTATATAAAATGTATTAGGCTGTGGGCGGGGGATGGGGCCGCCCGCCACAGGGCGCATGTGCGTCGGAAACTTTTCCACGGTCCTCCGACCCGCGGCCAGCTCCCTCTACTGGGCATGCGTGGCTTGCTGGCCGCGCCGCCTCGGAGGACGCCGGGAGGTGTAGTGCGCAGGGAAAGTAGGTCACTCTCTTCAAACTAGAACGTGGGGTTTGTGGGGACTACAATTCCCAGAGTGCAGAGCGCGGCTCTGCCCCGGCCTCTGCACTTAATTGGGGTTCAGTCGGAGCTTCGAAGGAGCCTGGCAGTCAGACTTGGGGCCCTGCCAGCCTGTGTTTGGGGGAGATGGTGTGAGACTTTGGGCGGGGTGGCGCAGTCAGTCACCACTAGTCCTGGAACTTTTCAACCACACCCGCCCGGCGGGGGAGAGGGGGCTCCAGGACCGTGGGTGGGTTTGCCCCCTGTGCCCCTGAGCTCAGCTCCGGCTCCCAGGCACCCAGTGTATGACACCTGCTGGCCTTGTCAAAACTGAGGACCCTTGCCCCTGACCCCTCTGTCCACACTCACTTGAATCCAGTTGTGCCTGGTTGGTAAAGCTTCAGGTGCCTCAGTATTTGTATAGGTTCTCATGGTTTGGGAGCCTGGTGGGTTCCCCTGCCATCATCTCCTTTTCTCCTTTAAAACATAACTTTATCTTCTTAAAATTCTTCCTTTGTATCTTTGCTAGACGTTTCCTCTGGAATCTCAATCACCATATCCGTTTCCCCCCATTTTTGTCCTTTTAAACACTTTTCTTTAAATCACAAGTCAGTGCAGGATTAACTTCGTTACTGAAAGTAAACTAATGAAGGGGAATGAGATTCTAAATAAGACAGAATTTATTTTCACATTTGCAACTTTTTGGTATATTGACAAAGTGTAGATTTGCTATTGTTAAACACAGCCCTCCCGCTGCCACCGTCCATGCACCCCCTACCCCCGTTTGCCACCCTTTGCCCCTGACTCAAGGTTGGAAAAATTCTTAGCATCCTTTCCTGCTGCTTAACCCAAATCTACTTGTTCCTTTTATTGAAGGATAGTTATTTCTAAGCTTTCTAATCTCACCACATTCTATGAATATTTTATATACAAGCTATAGAATTTGTCCATTGCCTAAAAAAAAAATATGGACAAACTCATCAGAGTGGTTATTTCTATCTTTAGTTAAAGACAAGACAGCACCAGTGCCTTAATCCCGTGTCCATAAGCTTCTTGAAGTCAAAATTAGAGCCTGAGCTGATAGAGCAGAAAATTTCATCCTGGTTTTCTGGCATTTTTGTAAGGTTCCACCCCACAGCCATCTGGCTTGACCTGTTCTCCCATCAGAGAAGCAAAGGTGGCATTATATACACTTCCTTATTTGTGTGGCAGCGTCGCCCAGGCACAAACTGGTGTGCAGCTCCGGGTGCTTATGCTGCAGAAACTGGTGAGCTGGGCAGGCTGATGACAGTGGTTCTATTGTGTATGAGGCGGGAGGCTTATGTCCCGGTGACTTTGGCCTGCATTTGAAATGCTCCCATTTTGAGGCTGAACTCTTTCGTTGGAGGCTGTGATTAATTTGAAAAGGCAGATATGCTCCCAAGTTAGAGAGGGCTAGAAAGGGGCAGGGGGCATACGAGGCTGGTGTGCCTTGAGAAGTGGCATGTGCTGGGTCAGGCCTGTTTTACTTTTCTGAAAGCACTGTCCTTAACTTCAGGCTCATTCTTAGGAACCAGGACCAACTTCCGTCACAATTTTTCGTTCTCTGTGTTTGGACCCCTCCCGTGGGCTACCACTGTGGCCCTTTCATCCGCTGTTCTTGAGTGGAGGCCCACGTTCCTGGGGACTAGCTTTGCATCTGGTGATGAATCATCCCTCACAAACAGAAAGGCTCTTCACCTTCTGCCATTCTTCTTTCTTCTCTGAAAGCTAAAAGGACCCTGGAGTCGATCTGTGAATAGACATTTGGAGCAACTTGGAGATTAAGCTTTCATTGGCGGCTGGGATTGAGAGGCGAGAAGGGTCTCCTGAGTCCTGAGCATCCCTGTGGAGGGCTCACGGCATCTCTGATGACGCCCACCTGACCCTCTGCCCCCTCAGATGAGAAGTGAGGGTTGGGCTAGACCTGGCCAGTGTGTGTGATGCTCAGATTGAGCCAGAGCATCTTCTCCGGAACTTGCCTCAGAGAGCTGTGCTTGAGGATTCAACTCTAAAAGTGCCCCTGGGAGCCACAGCCCAGGTCTGAAAATTATAGGGGAGTGAGTGAGGGCATAGGGCTGAAAATTACAAGGAATGTAGTAGAGGCAGGTGTTCAGAAAACTCGAGATCCTCAGGCCTAGAATGAGTCTCAGCATACTCTGTGCTGGACCTAGAAGGGATTTTATCAAATTCCAGCTCCAGGTCAGTCACAGGACAGGAGATGCCTTTGACGGATCACAGATCATGTCCGTGTGCTGAGCTCCGCAGCACAGGCTCACCCAGAGTCTGGCGGGAACATGTCTGGCCTGGTTGGCCCTGGTGCGGGCGGCCTTTTCAGTCCAGTTCCCCCCCAGCCTGAGCCCGGAGCTGTCGGTTTGGAGAAAGTGAGGAGAGGAAGCTTCCTGGGCCTTCGGACCTCACGGGTCATCTTCCTGAGACGAGGCTGGCCCCGGACTTGGGAAGAAGCCTGTTTGACCTCTGTGCAATCTGGCTACGCGAGACTCCCAAAATAACGATCTGCGTGTTCATCTTGGGCTGCCTCCTCTCCAGGGATCTCCAAACACTTGATAAATCCGACCCCGTGCCAAGGACAGGTGGCCACACTGTCCCCTGGAGCCAGCAGGGCAATGGAAAATTTCTTCTCTGCCCTCCTCACTCGCCCTCTAGCCCAGCATGTCAGACATGCGGCCCGCCGGCCTTGAGTTTGACATGCTTGCTCTAGCCAGAAGCCACAGAGATCCCCTCAGGCCACGCTAGTGCTGCTGGACCCTCCTTCCCTCTCCTTTCCTCTGCTGCCCCAGGGCACTGCCAGCCTCAGTGTCAGCAGTTCCGTCAGGCTCTGGTTTTGACAGGTCTTGACTTTTTCCTGGGTCTCCTGCTCTCATCTCTATCCTTGGAGGCGCTCTGGCGGCAGTGCTTGCCTGGGTCACACTGTGCGGTTCTGAAATCAGCTCTCAAACGCAGAGGGAGCCAGAGCACACACACCCAGGGGCACAGGGCGACAAATTGGATGTGACGAGTCCAAGCCCCCGTGAAACGTTGGCAGCGCAGTTTCTTGCTCAGTGACCTGCGTCCCTTTCCACTGAAGGAGGAAAACTAAGGACTGAACTCTGGTCTGTGACACCTTGGGATCACAGTTTCACTCAGATACTGCAGAGCGCGGGGGCGGGAGCGCCTCTTCTCCAGCTAAATTAAGGGGTTGGATTTGTTTTTGTGGGGTTTTTTTGTTTGTTTGTTTGTTTGTTTTTGTTTTTTTGTGTTTTTTTTTGTCTGAATTCTCAGAATACTGGAAACCACAGCACCCTGCTTTTTTGGAATTTTTTTTTTTTTTAAACTAATTTTATCAAGTACCCACTGACAACCAGGTACCGTGTGAGGCAGTTTCCATCCTTGAACTAACCTAATCTTCATGACAACCTCATGTTGCTGCTGAAACTAAGGCTCAGAGCAGGTGACTTGCGCAGTCACCCAAATTAAACCAGTCTCCGGTGGGGCAACAATGGTGTTTTTCTGTCTGTCCTTTGCCTGGACCCCCCCGCCCCCCGGGCTCTCTGCACAGCCATTCATGATGCCCCCTCTTGTTTCCCAGGGCCTTCTGGAGCCCAAGGCTGCCCACCTGCCATCTGCCGCCGCTGCCCTCGGCTGGTGCCCGCGCCCTGCCCTGATTGCCGGCCTGGGAAGGCACCATGCAGCTGGAGATCAAAGTGGCCCTGAACTTCATCATCTCCTACTTGTACAACAAGCTGCCCCGGCGCCGGGCAGACCTGTTTGGGGAGGAGCTGGAGCGGCTCCTAAAGAAGAAATACGAAGGCCACTGGTACCCCGACAAGCCCCTGAAGGGCTCCGGCTTTCGCTGCGTCCACATCGGGGAGCTGGTGGACCCTGTGGTGGAGCTGGCCGCCAAGCGGAGCGGCCTGGCGGTGGAGGATGTGCGGGCCAACGTGCCCGAGGAGCTGAGCGTCTGGATCGACCCTTTCGAGGTGTCCTACCAGATCGGCGAGAAGGGGGCTGTGAAAGTGCTGTACCTGGACGACAGCGAGGGCTGCGTGGCCCCAGAGCTGGACAAAGAGATCAAGAGCAGCTTCAACCCTGATGCCCAGGTCTTCGTGCCCATCGGCAGCCAGGACAGCTCCCTGTCCAACTCCCCCTCGCCGTCCTTCGGCCAGTCCCCCAGCCCCACCTTCATTCCGCGCTCCGCCCAGCCCATCACTTTTACCACCGCCTCCTTCGCCGCCACCAAGTTCGGCTCCACCAAGATGAAGAAGGGGGGCGGGGCGGCCGGGCCGGGGGCCGTGGCCGGCGGCGGGGCCGGCGGCCAGCAGCCCGCAGCACAGCAGCCTCGCCTGGCCCGCTCGCCCACCAACGGCCTGCTGAAGCACAAGAGCCTCTCCCTGTCCGTGCACGCGCTGAACTTCGCCCCCAGCCCGGCCCCGCAGTCCCAGCTCTCGCCCAACGCCAAGGAGTTCGTGTACGGCGGCGGCAGCTCGCCCGGCCTCCTCTTCGACGGGGCGGACGGCCCGGCCAGCGGGGCCGGCACTGGCGGCGGCGGCGGCTTCGACGTGGCCCAGGTGTTCGGAGGCGGCGCCAACAGCCTCTTCCTGGAGAAGGCGCCCTTCGTGGAGGGCCTCAGCTACAACCTCAGCGCCATGCAGTACCCCAGCCCGCCCTTCCAGCCCGTCGTGCTGGCCAACTGACCGCCCCCTCCCCCACGGGGCCGGCAGCGCCCAAGACCACAGAAGAGAAAAAGGAAAGGAAAGGCCAAAAAAAGAGGAAAAGAAAAATATACAAAAATGTTCCCCACCTTCTCCCTCTCACTTCTAGAGAAAAGAGGCAGCCGAGGCCCGGATTGGGAGGGCGCTCCCGCAGCACCTGATCGTGTCTAACCACCTCCCTGCTGTTCTCCTGCTGCCTATGATTTACTTGGTTGGTTTGGGGGTTGTTTTTCTGTTTGTTTTTTCTTCCTTACATGTAGTTTTCTATATAACATCTTTAATTAGTGGCTTCCTGTGCTAAGAATGGTCCTGATGTGAATTGCTGCTCCCTCCCTCCCTCCCTCCTTCACACACCTGGTTTAGGATTGGTGTGTTCAAGCTCAAGAGCCACAGCTGGGGCCTGGCCCTCAGAACAGGGAGAGGCTGTCCCCTGTCACTGTACCCACCGCCCAGCTGTCCTCGCACTCAGCCATCCGACCTCAGCAGGCCCGTGGCCTGCCGCCCGGATAGGTCAGACTCCAGCCCCACTCCTCAGGCCTGGTCACAGGAGCTGCTGGCTGGCCTACTGAATCCTCCTCCAGAGCTGACTCCAGGGAGGTCAGCCTCTGCCGGAATTCCTTTCATCTCTGTCCTCTGGCCCCACCCTGCCATTCCCACCTGCGTCCCCCTCTGTGGCCCTGGAGACACAGCTGTTGACGGTGTGGTCCCAGGCAGCCTCTCCCCTGGGCCTGTGAGGTGTGAATGGGGAGGTGGGCCCGTGTGGGGGTGAGTGTGTGCATGCGTGTGCGGTGGTTTGCTGTCCTACTTTAAAGAATTCCAAGCCATGTGAACTCCCCCCTGCTCACTCCCCTCTCTCCCGTGATTCTGGTTGTAGCAAATGCTTATTTATGCGTGAGGTGGGGGAATGGCCGGGCGGGGGTCCGTCCTTTTGTAGGTGTGAGACTGGCTGGGCCTGCCACTCCCTGGGAAAGCACTGCAGGAGGAACTGGTTTCCGGACTGCAGAGGGATCTGCACTTTTGTTTTTGACCAAAAAAAAGGGGTGGGGGGGTGGGAGGTAGCTGTGCGAGGAATACCCAGCCTCTGATGCTTGAAAGAAGTCCCTGGACCCACCTGTCATGTGACCTTAGCCCAGGGCGGGAGTTCTGGGTCAGTGCCTGTAGCGGGCAGTCCTGAGCCTTTGGGGCCCTTTGGCTGTAGATGTAGTGCACTTCTGCCCCTTCCTGGCACCTCTGCCATCCTTCTCACTGCCCGACCTAACCTCCCGGGCCTCGATGCCAGAGGAGTGGGCGGGCAGGCCAGGCGTAGCCCCCGAAGCTGGGTGTTTGGACAGAGAAGAGCCTCTGCCACATGAGTTGTTTCTCCAACCCAACCATCGTGGGCCGGCTGCCATGCCAGGATGCTTTGGCAAGTGGGGCACCTGGCATCAGGGCCCCCATCACCAGAAAGTTCCAAAGCCCTGGGCACCCCACCCCAGCCTCCCTAGCGACCCAAGTGGGCAACTGCTCTGGTAGTGGGTCCCGCCCAGATAGACACTGCCAGCCTTCCCCGCACTGGGCACCAGCTCTACCTCCCTCTGCAGGGCAGGGCCCTGGCTCCTCAGCCCGGCACCATCTGTCCCCTTAGACTTCTCAGGGGCCAGCCCGATCTGGGCACCCTCTCCCTAGCCCGTGGCTCCCACAGGTGGCAGGCCAGGCAGGGCGCTGCTCCCTGGGGAAGGCTGATGCTGCCTTATGCCCCTCCCCGCACCCTCCGCCCACACTCACGCACACAGGTACCCACCGTACCTGGTCAGCACGCAGGGAGAGAGCGAGACCAACCCTAGCGTCTTGAAACCCGAAGGAAAACGTGTGCTCAGGAGCATGACTCCGGCGCTGGGCTCTCGGGCCCAGTCCAGTCTGTCTCGTCTCGAATCTAGGCATTTTTGCTTCAAAAAGAATTTTTTTTTATTTTAAGAAAACCAACAGAAATCTGCACTAATTTACCTGGTTTGGTAGGAAAACTTTTTTTTTTTTATTTTTTACATTTTTTGGTGTCTGTTTGTATTGAATAATTTGCTACATTTGTAAAATGTAAGAGGTATATATAATATATGTATATTTCTAACGTAAAATGTAATTTTTTTTCTTTTCAAGATTTTTTCTTAAAAAGAGGAAAGAAACAAAGCTATTTTTTCAGGAAAAACAAACTTTAAAATAAAAAAGAGGAGAAGAAAACCTTTTTCTCCCCTTTCCCCATCCTCTGTCCACCCCGCTTTCCAGGAACATCCAGAAGGTGGATCATCTTGTGAAGAGTGTAAACGTTTAGTCCAGAATGACATATTTTCTCAATGCAGTGAGCTCTAGATTCTCCAGTTTGACCCTTAGGGGCGGGAAGGAGGGGGCATTGAGGCAATGAGGAGGGCTCGGGGAGCAGGGCGATGAACTTGTTTTCTTTAGTGAAGGAGGAATACAATCAGCGTTTTGTATTCAGAATGTTGTGCAATATTTTGGAATGGGACATTGGTGTGTTTAGAGATTTAGTTTAAAAACAAAACAAAAAAGATTGATCAAACCTGTACAGTTTATATTGTTCCAGATTTTTTTAAGTTTGTATTAAAAGCATGATATATAATAGCCCTCTGCTTGCTCCTGGCTTGTTTTGTTTCTGGTCCCGGATTCGGGATGGAGAGAGTGCGAGTGACCCAGCCCCTTTAGTTTCGAGAAACAATTGCTCGTCCTCACTTGACCCTGGATGGGCTTCCTTTTTCTCACCAGCCCATCAGCACAGGACACCACAGAGAGCCCACTCCCACGGTCCTTTCCCACAGGGGAGATGGGTCCCAGGAGGGTGGGGAGTGCCCCAGCTCCCTCACTCGGATGGCGGAGCCGGGCCTGGAAGCAGAGCCTTGAGAACAGGATGGCGCCTGTTTGTGGCTCTGAGTAGCAGCCTCTTCCTTGGAGGCCGAAGGAGGGATCTAGCATTTGCTGGCTCCAATGGCTAGACCATGAGGAGTGGGCAAAGAGGAGAGCCCACCTACATCAGCTTCTGTCCCCAAGCCTGGGGCTTGGACTCGCCCTTCTCTTGCTGGGTAATCCTGGAGCTGGAGCTGCTTTAGGGGTGAGGGCCCATCCGAGCCTGGGCCTGGGACTCAGCCACCTCCCCCTCGCAGGGCCTCATTGATGCTGCCCACGCTGGGGAGGGTACAGACAACCTCCTTCCCAGCAGGGATTCACACCAGCCCCTCAAGGCCCCTGGGTTGAAGAGAGCAGCCAGGTGTTCCTTGAATCTCACCCTCACTATCTCCACAATACCACTGAGAAGTCGGCTACAAGTTAGGTTCCTGGCTGAATTCACACAGCTGGGAAGTGGGGAGGCTGAGATGTTGATCTGTGTATGGCTGTTTTCATGTATAAACCATAACAGCTGTGGCAAAGTGCCACTGGGGGCAGGCGTGGAAGAGCTGACTGCAGCCTCTCAGGCCAAACACACAACCTCTGCATAGGCTCCAGCCTCTGCCTGGGCCAGTCTGCTACAGTGTGTCAAGCAGAGGGAGGCCCTGATCCAGGGTGCCTGTCAGACCTAAGGCCACTCTCAGGGGTCTCACTTTCTCTGTCCTGCCAAGGAGAAGTCCAGCCTGTCCCTATATCCCTGTGTCCAGGCTGCTGGCCCATCTGTGGGCCCCAGGGCCCCTTGCACACATTCCTGTTTATCTATCTATATATATAAAAGCCCAGCAACTGGAATAGCGGAATGACCAGAACAACTGGTGGCTATGATGTGCACTGTGATAGTCAACCAGCCTGATCTGGGCCCTGATTGGCACCCCTCCCCACTGGCTGCTGATGGACCCCCAACACCCTGTTTGGGGGCAGGGCCAGCTGGCCAACCACTGAGGTCCCTCCCCACGCTGGCCAGGCCTGATGGGCCCCCATCCATCAGGGCAGGCCATCTGCATCCCACCCGTGCACAAATTCGTACACCAGGCCTCTAGTTTTAATATAAATAAAGCACCTGGCATAAATGCTTTATCTGCCCTGGAAGCACAGGTGGGACAGCAGTTATAGGACAGCTGTGCACAGGGGGCTGAGAGTCCAGGATCGGGAGGCGAGGAAAGAATCGGAGTTGGCCAAGGCCCCTACCCCCAAGGAACCTGTCGGGAGGATGCCCTGCAGGGGAGCGTGTGAACTCTGCTTTCTCAGAAGACTCAGGTCTGAGTCCCACCCTGACCACTCCCTAGCTGGGTGGACCTCAAGCAAACCACTTCACCCACTCTGCCGCCTCATTCCTTCCAGCTCTACAGTGGGGGTGATCACTGTGACTTAATTTCCTTGTGAAATTAAGTGGAATAATAAGTGTGGAATGCTGAGCACAGCGGCTGGCCCAGAGTAAACAAGTAGCATTTCCATCATCAGGGTCGTCATTGTCCATCTACAAATGCCAATGGCAAGCCCAGGCCCCGAGTGTCCTCGCCTCCGCAGACGGGCCGGAACCCAGCCTGCCAGCGGAAGCCCAGGCTGGCGGCGGCAGAGAAAGCCCTTCTGGGAGCTCAGCGCTCGCTCGGCGGGCGCCCCCTCTGTTCCCTGCCGGACAGCGCCCTGGAGAGAGAGTGTGCTGGTCTCTGCTACCCTCTCCTCCCCTCCAGGGCCCCGCCTGCGGCCTTGGCTGGGATGGGCCCTCCACGTGTGTCCCAAAACCTCCCGGGAGTCCCCTGGGGAGGCAGATGGGCGGGTGGGGTGAGTCATGGGGCAGGAGAGCCCTGCTCCGTCCCTCGCTGTCTGCTCTCCACTGCTGCCATCCTCCCCTGAGTGATTCAGTGGGTGGAGGGCACACTCCTCCCTCCTCCTGTCCCGGGGCCTGGCTAGTTTAGCCAAGTCCCACCAGGGCAGGGCTAAGGACAGGCTGGGACCAGCCAGGAAGTCTCCAAGTCCCTGGGAAAGAGGCACCTGCTGATCTGCTGCTCTTTCATTTAGACAATTTCACTGCCAGCCAGAGAGGTGTGCTC